CCCCCCCCCCGCGTGCTGTCGAGCCAGTGGCGAGAAGGAACTGGCCCCTCAAGGTTGGATTGACAGGACAGCCTGCCAACGGCGGGCGCGCAGCGACCTCCCCTCTTTGCTACCGCCCCGTTACCTGGGAGCCCATTGTAAATAGCGCCGCGGCCCCTTTAAGCGCCGCGTCGCTCGGCAACGGCCCAGGCAGGCGACGCGGAGGCGCCAGGTACTGAGCGGCTGGGGGGGGCCGGCCCGGCCCGGGGCAGCGCGAGCTGCGGGTCCCACGGGCGCGAAGCCGGGCTGCGGCTTCCTCTGCCCCGGCATGCCCGGGGCTGCCGTAGCGCGGCGCGGAGGGCAGAAGGGAGGGGCTGGTGTTCGCCCGCCACAGCTGGGCCTGGGGCCTAAGATTTAGGTTTTCCTGAGATCCTGGGGGAGGAGCAGGCTGGGGTTTGGGTAGATTTGGGTCCATTTTGTCATCTTTTAAGGCAACGGACATTCATCTGCGCCGAGGTGGGACAAGACGTATTTTCGGTTGTGTCGTGCTTTCTTATGGCTCCCCCCACCAAACCTTCCTAAAAGTTCTCTGAGGGGTGCTTAGACCTTGTTTTTGACAATGAGGTGAATTCATTACTGACCTGTCTGGAAAGTTTTCATGAGGAGGAGGTGAATGTTTAGCTCCCTATTGGCTATTCAGTGTATGAATTATGTAGCACCAGTTTTGAAATCCAAGCCCAGTTACCAAGCATGTGCACAGGCTGGGGGCCGCCCGCAAAGCAGCAGCAAACGACCTGGGGGTTACAGTCGGTAATAAGATGGGTACAAGCCAACAGTGTGCCCCTGTTGCCAGGAAGGCTAACGGCAAACTAGCCACACTAGTAGGAGCATTGCAGGCAGATGGAGAGAAGTGATCGTTCCCCTCTACTCAGCACTGGTGAGGCCACATCTGAAGTGTTCTGTCCAGTTTTGGGCTCCCTGCTACAGAAGGGATATGGGTAAGTTGGAGAGAGTCCAGCAGAGGGCAACACAAATGGTTTGGGGGCTGGGGTACATGAGTTCTGAGGAGAGGCTGAGGAAACTGGTCTTATTTAATCTGGAGAAGAAAAAAAAGGGGGATTTAATAGCAGCCTTCAACTATCTGAGGGGTGGAGGGGTCCAAAAAGGATGGAGCTAGACCAAGGATCAGCAATATTTTTGGGCAGTGCCAAAAACACCCACAACCTTGACTTGTTGGTGTGCGAGGGGCAGACGGCAGAGGAGCTGCAAGGGACCTGATCCTTGTTGTGGCAGCGCTGCCCCACAACACAGCCTGGTGCAAATGCCAAGCAAAATGCCTTTGTGTGCCACATTCCAGCACACATGCAAGGGGTTGCTTACTCCTGAGTTAGAGGCAGATGACAGAACAAGGAGTAATGGTCTCAGGTTGCAGCAAGGGAGGTTTAGGTTGGATATTAGGAAAAACTTTCTCACTAGGAGGATAGTGAAACACGGGAACAGGTTACCCAGAGGGGTGGTGGAATCTTGATGCTTAGAGGTTTTTAAGACCTGGCTAGACAAAGTATTGGCTGAGATGATCTAGCTGGGGTTGGCCCTGCCTTGATCAGGAGGTTGAACTCGGTGACCTCCTGAGGTCCCTTCTAGCCCTGATTGTCTGTAAATCCATGAGAGCAAGGGCCTCATTGCCACCAGATTCTGTATAAGCTGAAATTTTCAGCCAGATTCAGAAAGGGATTGCACCAGTTCTTGGAAGTAAGAGGCACTGCACTATTGAGCATTGCAGTTATGGGCCCAGCCTCTGAATTAGATCTTCCTTAAATACTGAAGGCTGCACATGAGAGAGGAACAGTGGAGAAAAATCCCTGGTCATACCCAGTTCCTTCTCCTTTTCGGCATCCACTCTGCCCCTGTGTGACACAGGAGACTGGGCATGATGCATCTATGGTGTGTCTGACTAGTAAGTGGCATGTCTTATGTTCTTAGGGGTGCCTTGAGTTTATGGAGGGGCTTATTTGGATACATCTGTTGTTTTTTAAAGTAAAACTATGATTTTCAAAGTATACTCTAATAAAGTATAAGGGAGAGCATAAGGAAATTAATCTAGTATTGTTGTCCTTTGAAGTCATGCTCCTAATTTAAAAAGTCCAAGAGACTATCAATCTGCAGGAATTAAAATATAACGACGGCATAACGTTTTAGGTCTAGACTTGGTTGAGGGGGAGGGGGAGAGAGGCAGGAAACAACTGATCAGGATATTCCAAACCAGGCTTTGTACTCAAAGTGACACATACCATAGATGCGTCTACATGTGCTCTTTAATGTGCATTAGCCTATTTTAATGTGCATTTAAGCATAACTCAAAAAACCGTGCTGTTTAGTTAATGCACATTAAAATAGGCTAATGTGCCTTGAACATCACTTAAAAACCGTGCTCTTCAGTTAATGCACATTAAGAGAGGCTAATGCACATTCTCCTGGTACCTCAGAATGGAGGGCACCTACACATGAACGCAGGAGCTTCTCTGATACGCTGGAATTCCAGCCTTTTGGAACAGACTCAACTGAGTCTCTTGAAGCATGCCAGTTGCCATGCTTCAGCAGCCTCCAGCATCTCATATATCAGAGTCTCCATGCTTAAAGCTGGCAGTGGGGGCACTTGTGCGCGCACCGCCATTTTAAGCTCTGGGACACTGATACATGGCAGTGCTTTAATTGGAGCAGCTCTCAGAGCCACTGTAATTAAAATGCTGCCCCTCCCACCCCTGGAACACATGTAAAGGTAAAGGTGCCAGGAGGTATTAGCACATTAACTAAAGCATGTTAATGCATGTGTAGATGGACCCGGAGGTACTCAATTAAATAGAGGTGCAGCAGTACATTGGTTCATATTGTATCTGCACCAATAATGTCAATTTTGGTTTTATTAGCAGTTGGCTTTTTTTGACTAAAGTGGCCAGTAATTTCACTGATGTATGCTGCATGCAGTGCACAGCCTGGCAGATTGGGGAGCAGAGTCCGGCTGGTAAGTCTGTGGGGGGAAAAGGGGCAGG